AGAAAGAAAGAAAGAAAGAAAGAAAGAAAGAAAGAAAGAAAGAAAGACAGACAGACAGACAGACAGGGCCCTAGAATGAGGGTTAAAACAAGTCAATAAATAAGCTGCCCTAACACCATCTCTGACTAAAGTACAACCATCCTGCAGGCCTAGGCTACTGCCTAACCAGCAGCTGCCTTTCCTGTCTGTGCTGGCTAGATTTATGTCAGCTTGACACAGCTAGTCATCAGAGGGAGCCTCAGTTGAGAAAATACCTCCATAAGATCCTGCTGCAAGCCATTTTCGTAATTAGTGATCAGTGGGGAAGAGCCCAGCCCATAGTGAGTGGTGCTGCCCCTGGGCTGGTGGTCTTAGGTTTGATAAGAAAGCAGGCTGAGCAAGCAATGGAGTATCAGGACAGTAAGTAGCATGCTTCCATGTCCTCTCCATTAGCTCCTGCCTCCAGGTTCCTGCCCTCACTGCTTTTGATGATGAATTGTTACATGGAACTATGAGCAAAATAAACCATTTTGTTCCCCAAGTTGCTTTGGTCATGGTGTTTCATTATAGCAATAGTAACCCTAAGACACTTGTTTCTTCCAGATTCTGGAGGTCAGGCTCTGGTCATAGCCCAGCCCTAGAAATGGATGTGGCCTTAGGAAGCTGTTCTCCTGAGCTAACCACTCCTATGAGACTTCTGGGAGTGAACCATTTGTATGTGACTCTTGAGTTGGGGATAACTATTCAAGACTTCTAGGAAAAGAGCTAAGGCCGTTAATGATTCAACTATGGTACTGCTTTCAGCCTGCCAAAGTCAGAATCACCTGGGTCAACACCATAAGTACTAAGTAAAGGCATTCTAAAGAGATGCCGAACTAAGTGGCTACTCTTGCCTCAAATCATGGAGATGAGGCCTAGTGGAGCCAAGGTAGCTGCATCATGCCACAGCAACAATTGCTGCAGGAACTTCGCAGCCTCTCACTGGGAGAAGGGGCACGCGCTTCAGCTCCGCGTCCAGGCCAGGTTCCGAGGCAGCAGATAAGTGTAAATGCTTGACCAGGCTGTGCCTCTTCTAGCAACCGGTACTTGTCCTACCTAACTGCACCCTGGCTACCCTTTATCCAAGGCTAAGTATAAGTGGCCCCGAGGATGCAAAAAGTCAGAGCAGCTCTAAACAAATGCAAACAGCAGTCACTAGAATGTGTGAGGCCTCTCACCTCCCCTGACTGACCCTGCATGCAGACTCTAGCCTTGACGAAGTACAGCTGGAAAAGCAACAGAGAACAGGCCCTGGCTAGTTTGGGTCCTTCCTAGGAACCTGAAGGGCGGGTCCCTGCAGGAGAGTGGATAGGTCACTGTCCTCATTTCCGTGGAGCCGCAAGTCCAGGTGGTCACAACCAGCCAACAAAGCCATGTGCTAAGGGGTTCAAGGAATGCCCAGCCACATTTCCTGGCCCTGTTGAGGATCCAGAGAGTCCGAGACCCAACTGTTTTGAGACGAATGCCCAAGCCCGGCAAGACTCAACCCCGGTGACACCTCTGCCTCTCCAGGACAACACAAACACTACAGTCACGGAGGGGTCACAAAAGGCCTTCCCGAGCCAGTTCCTCCTCACTAGGTCTTTCAGAAGACAAGAAAGAACCAAGCGTAAGACAAGTTCCTGCCTGACACCGGAAGAAGCGATGCATGCTAGGTAGTAGACGGCTCCGGTGATCAGCGACGTATGCTGGGAACGGCGCTGCATGCTGGGATAGGTAGTTGGCAAAGCGACCTAAACCAAAGCGGTTTTTTTTTTTTTTCAGTTTCTTGTGGTCCCCTAGTTCAAGCGATTTCAGCAGCACCATCCCAAGAATAAAGCATTCTGATTTACCAGGGTAGCGCGGAGAAACGAGGAGACAACGAGCCCTCGTGATAACAAAACCTGCGAGTCTCGGCCTGGACGCCGAGCTGAGGCGCGTGCGCGATTGGGTAGCTGTGGCACGTGACCAGAGCGCGGCATTTAATTGGCTGCAGTCGGGTTACCTAGGCAACGGAGCTTGCAGCGCCGGGCGGGTTTGCACAGTAGTTCTCGCGGGCTGAGCTGACCAGGTTTGCAGCGACGGCCTCGCACTCGCTCCCGGGCGGCGACCGAGCTCACGGGCCGCAGATGGGAGCCCAGGGCGCCGAAGATGCGGGCGGTCAGGGCCGAGACGCCGGCGCGGGAGCTTTTCCGGGACGCCGCATTCCCCGCCTCGGACTCCTCGCTCTTTTACAACTTGTCCACGCCTCTGGCCCAGTTTCGGGAGGACATCACTTGGAGACGGCCCCAGGTGCAGCCGGGTCTCTCTCCTGGGCGGGTGTTGCGGATACCTTTCCCACAGAGATGGGCTCCGGGGTAGCAGGACCCGCCGCCCCTTCAGAAGAGGTGCTGGTTAACCCTGAAAATTCAGATGAAGTAGCTGCCCTAGTTCAGGAGGACAGAGCAGTGGAACTGTTTGTCTTTTAGATGTTGTCTTTCGGTTTGTACTAAAATATACCACTACTAGTCAGCTAGTAGGGAGTTCTGGTGTGGAGAAGGGATTAGAAGCACCACCTAAGTTTGGTCGGGTGTAACTCATTGTACTATGACAAATCTTTCTTGGCTTTGCTCTTCGTTTGCATTTCTTCTTGTAGTAGTTGGCGTTGGGATATGAACACCGAGGAGTGACACAAAACAGAGGGATCGTTGTGGTTAACCCAAGGGGCTGCTTTTCAGGACTCCCTTTAATGTTACAGGCAGGTGGCACTTGGTATTGTTAAATAGATAGGAAAGTTCTGGTCACCAATCAACAGTTTCTGAATCTGCTGGTCAGTTTATTCCAATTGCATAGCTTAACTTGCAGAAGTGAATCGATTTAATTGACCTAGGAGCTCAAGGTGGAGCTGAGCAAGAGCTGATGGAACACCGGGTCATTATAATGGGCGCAGCCCCGCTTTCTTTCTTCTCGCTAGCTACCATCAGTCTTGGTCTTTTGCTTTGTTTTGCACTGTTGTGACATGCTTCTCACAACAGTGTCATCCCCTCACGGCCACAAAGAGCTGTGGTAGAGGCTGTTTTGGACTGGTGCAGCTCAAATGGATGCTCAGGCATGTGAGAATGTGGTGGTGGTTTTTGAAGAGGCTTATCTGCTGCTGTTCTTGAACAGCTTGCCCCACATGGATATGGTGCTACCAGTGACAGCTGGGTGGACTCCAGCCCTCTTGCAGCCCGGGCTGCTTGCCTCACTGGTAATGATAAGCATCCTGGTTTTCTTGGGCAACACTAAGAGGCAAGGGAAAGAAGATGTGGACCAGAGCAGGAAGAGCCCTGTTGGTCATGCCTGCCGGTGGAATTTAGGTTTTGTTTTTATTTAAAAAAGAGAAAAATGGGTTTCACATGGTGGCTCACAACCATTTTTATGTCCAGTCCGAGGGACTCCGGTGCTCTCTTTTGGCCTCTGAAGGTGCTTCATGCACATGGTCCACAAACACACATTTAAGCAAAACACTCATATAAAATAAAAATAAATGGATTTTAGGTGCCATGAGACACCTGTGGAGGGTTTTCAATTAAGGAATGAGTGCACCAGAGTGTTTTAAGCATGCTCTTTGGTGACTAGGTCACAGGATAATATGTTTTTGTTCTTTTTAACACATACATTTTATAGTGTAGCCATGTGAGTGTATCACCTATTGATAACTGTAGCAACAGTAGAAAACAAGACAGAAAAAGAACAATGGAAAAGACACTCACTCCTGAGAAGGAAATGGTGGGTAGGGCAGGAATGCAGGCTACTTTTTCAGTAGTGCTAGAAGTTGATCATTATCTTCAGGCTAGCCTGACAGCTGGGTGGATAGGGCCTTGCAGTAGACAGCTTTGAGAATACTTTGGAAGGAATGGCTGTTTGAAGTGGAAGCCAGAGCAGGAATCAGGAGGAATTTCTTGGACTATTGAAACAGTTCAGCAGATAAAGTCATTTACTGACAAGCCTAATGACCTAAGTTTGGTCATTGGAACCCACATGAGGGAATGAGAAAATACACTCCAGTATGTTGGCCTCTGACCTCCATACTTATACTGTGGCACACACAAACATGTATGAGTTGTGTAGACAGGTTAGTAGCTCAGGTGTGCAGAGAAGGGTGATGAGGCCATTTTGAGAAGAGAGACAAAGGGGAAGGTCTGAGATTTTCTGGGGACGAGGGAATTGAACCCTGTGGAGACACAGTAGACTTTCTGGCAGTATAAAGGACCCATTTGATATTTGTCACTGAATTTATGAAGTAGGGCTTTTTTCTAAACTTAGTTGTTTAAAAGGGGTCATCTGGAATTGAGGTCTTGCCAATAAGGAAAGTGTGTAGAGATGCTCCATGAGAACTGTAACAAAGGAGGTGCTGAAGGATAGGGACAATGGAGGAGTAACTTCCTCTTCCATTTGGGCCCAGAAGCTCAAATAATTAGAAATGCCCCCATAGCCTGTCCTAGATTCCTGTGTTCTTCACTTGAAGAGTAGCCACAGGCGTGAATTAACTCTGGACAACTTGATTTCAGGAAATTTGTGCCACACCTCAGCTGTTTCCAGATAACCCATGGGAAGGACAGGTGAAGCAAGGGCTGCTGGGGGATTGCTGGTTCCTGTGTGCCTGTGCTGCCCTGCAGAAGAGTCAACACCTCCTGGACCAGGTACAGGCTACCTCAGGCTTCTTCCCACCCAATCCCTTTTACCTGCTCAGCACAGGAAATTCTTCCCAAAGCAGGGCCTGCTGCAGCACATTTGTGGCCATTCAGCATGGGTGGCGGGAAAGGCTAGAGCACCAACAGTGACCCAGTTACATCCTGTGCACCAGACCAGAGCCACCCACATGTTTGGGCACAAAAACAGGCCATCCTGGCAGGTAGAAAAGGGTCAGCAGAGGCATCTCATGTCTCTGTTTTCTTTACTTGATTGAGTTCTTTCTTTTTTAAGTTATCCGTGTATAGGTTTTAAACACCAACAGGGAAAGGGTCAAAAAGTGACCTCTGATACAGGCAGACTCCACAAGAAAGAAAGGCCTTGTGGGTCCTCACAACGCTGCTTTTCTAGGTTGCCTCATTGCTCAGTGTTTTCAGTTAGGGCAACAGCACTGAGGGAGAACCCATGTGTGACTTGTGTGTCCTGGTCTTGTGGCTAAGCTTGCCATTGTTGTTACCTCTCACAGCCTTATTGGCATCTTTCCTATAAAAGAGGGTGCTGACACCACTGTCCTCACATTTCCTCTGTTTTTGAGTTGAGTGCTGGAGCCAGCACCACACTAGTCTGTCTAGGTGCAGAGCCTGCTTTTGCGTACTTGCAGAAGCTAGCAGTGGGCCTAATTGGGCCAGTGGCTGGCCAGCTTTTGGTACTCAGCTTTGAGAAGTGGGAATAGCTGCTAGGCATGTGGGTTTAGAAGCCAGATGTGGTAGCACACGGCTTTAATCCCAACACTCAAGAGGCAGAGGCAGGTGGATCTCTGAGTGTGAGGCCAGCCTGGTCTACAGAGTGAGTTCTAGGACAGCCCAGGCTATACAGAGGAGAAATTCTGTCTGAAAAAAAAAAGAAAAAAAAAATGGGGTTACCCCTGTTTGCCAAAGCTTTAGATTCAGGTCAAATGCTTATTTGGGGCAGTAAAACATGGTTGGCTGTAAGCTTTGGGGACATGAGTTATTTATGTAAAAATCTGGATTTTGTGTCCAGTGGTTGAGTTTACTGTGACATGGACATGCAAATGTGACATCCAGCAGAGCCCTCCACTCATAGCAGGTGCTTATAGTGCTTCTGTCGAGGCCTCACTGTTAAGACACTGAGGAGCACAGGTGATGGTGGACAGTGGCCCTCAGGTGTCTACAGTGCTTCTGTCGAGGCCTCACTGTTAGGAACTGAGGGGCACAGGTGATGGTGGACAGTGGCCCTCAGGTGTCTACAGTGCTTCTGTCGAGGCCTCACTGTTAGGAACTGAGGAGCACACTGATGCTGGTCTCATGCTGTCTGTTTGGCCTCTCCTTGTGCATGTTAGGTTTTCCCTCCAGGACAGCCAGGCTGGTCTGACCAGAAGTACCAAGGCTTCTTCAGCTGTCGAATTTGGCAGTTTGGACAGTGGGAGGAGGTGACTGTAGATGACCGTCTGCCTTGCCTTGCCGGGAGACTCTGCTTCTCACGGTGCCGGAGAGAGGATGTGTTCTGGCTTCCCTTACTGGAAAAGGCCTATGCTAAGTATGTATGACGTTGAGGTGACAGGGCCAGCCAGGCTGGGTAGCTTTAGTACCCAGGCTTTCCCAGAGACCCATCTCATGTACCCTGGGCTGCAGAGCCCTACGCATTCCTCAGGGTCTGGCAGCCAGTTCTATGGATCCTGACATGGACATTCTGCTTTTAGGATTGTGGTCTGCCCTGCCCACTCTTTTCCTCCCCATATTTCCCAGCACTCCACAGAGAGGCCCTTTTCATTCCTCAGTCCCAGCACAAAGATGCCCAATATATGTTCTTGAGCATTCAACACAAGTGGTTATTGCCCAGCTGCAGGGAAGTAAGGAGCCTGGTATGGACCACTTGCTTATTACAGTCCTGCTCTCACTCAGTCCCCAACTGAACAGTTGTCCCTCCTACGCGGTGTTGGCTGAAGGAGGCTGGCTAATGACCAGGTGTCAGAGTAGAGGGATGGGAGGGCTAGCAGAATGTCATACTGGGGACCATGGCGTTTGAACTTCAGATGTAGAGCCTCAGTGCCCCTTTGCCTTGTCCTTTGCTGCCCATGCTAGAGGGAGACTAGGTCTAAACCTGGACGGAGAGCAGCAGGGACACGGCAGATTTTGACCTTTACAGATGAGTCAAGATGTGACACAGAGCAGAGGGCCAGTCCAGGTGCAGCAGGAGGGTGGGCTGGATGCTTTGGGGTGTGATGGTTTGTGGGAACAGGAGAGGCAGGAGGCGCCAGGGCAAGGTCAATACTGCCTGTGCTTGGTTCCCCAGGGTGCATGGGTCCTATGAACATCTGTGGGCAGGGCAGGTGGCAGATGCCCTGGTGGATCTCACTGGAAGCCTGGCAGAAAGGTGGAGCCTGAAGGAAATAGTGGGAGCCAGTGGCCAGCAGGACAGACCCAGTGGTGGGGCGCGCCAGACTTGTCGGCAGCTACTCCGCCTGAAGGACCAGTGTCTGATCAGCTGCTCTGTGCTCAGCCCCAGAACAGGTACAGCTTGTGGCTACAACTCCCTCCACCATTATCTTATTACACAGGAAGAAATCGGTCCCTGAGAGGGATGTCTTGGCTCCATGTCCTCTTGTTCCCCCTCCTCTGTTGAGAGGCTACCCTCTTCCTTCTAGACCAGTCCTTTCATCTAGGGCAAGGCATCGTGTCTCCTGTTGCTCACAGACACCTTAGAAGCAGTAGTGGGAACAGCATCTAAGCCGACCGTGTCACCATCCCTGCCCCGGCTGGTGACCAAGCAAAGTCCAAAGCCATTTTATAGCTTACTGACACATCAAGGTTCATGAAGAAAAGTTTTTGTATAAAAAGAAAAGCTCACCTAAGTAAAACTACTATCAATGTATACAACCTTTTCTGGTTTTGGTGTATACCATTTTCTCAGTTATTACATAAATTGCATAAATTGGAATATCTTCCTCCATTGCTGGACCTGCTGTGGTTTTCTTGATCCTTTCAATAATGTTAGATAGTTCAGATCTTTTTTTGGTTGTTGTTGTTGTTTTTTGTTTGTTTGTTTGTTTGTTTGTTTGTTTTTTTGGAGGTTAAGGCTTCCTTAGAACCCTGGTAGTTCTCTTGCCTCTGACCCCTGAGTGTTGAGACCATTGGCACTATTCATGTCCAGCTAGATCTTTGTGATGTAATAATACTGTAGTGAATACCTTTATAATTTTCTGTTCACATTTAAGAACATTTTGTAATATAACTCTGGTTCAAAAATGGGACATTAGGTACTAGGGAGATAGCTCAGTGGGTGAAGTGCTTCTGCTTAGCACGAGGACCTGAGTTGGGTGTTCAGCACCCAGGCAGGAGGCTGGGCATGATGTCCACCTGCGATTCCAGCTCTGAGGAGGAAGAGGCAGGAGAGTGCCTGAGGCTTGCTGGCCAGCCTGCGTAGTTAAGCCAGTGAACTCTGGCTCCCTGCCTCAAAAAAATGAGGTGGGCAGCTCCCGAGGAAGACCACCAAGGCTGTCTCCTGGCATAAATATATATTTTATTAAATATAAACATCAGATTAACCCAGAACTTGTTGCTAATCACATTGACCAGACCAACAGCTAAGAGTTGCCAAAGCCCTGGACTGGGATCTCCTCAGACAGGTCCTGGGTTAAAGAAAAAGAACAGGGTGTGTTGGCCATGCTGGCTCCACTGAGCCTGCCTCCTGAGGGTAGGAGCCAACCACTGACTGCCAGCTCCTTGGAACTGTTGGTGTTAGGCAGCAACAGAGTGTAGGAAGGATGATTCTTGACACTTGGGGTTTTGGAGAACCCCTCTCTTTAGCAAAGAGCTGCTGGGGCCTACCAAAGTGTCAGGGGCTGGGGCTATAGGGGACACCGAGAACAGGAGGTTCTCGGGGCAGAGCCTTTGGGGCTAGAGCTGTGGTCACACAGGCACTCCTGTCCTCTTTCTGGCTTTTACCCTTCCTGGGATAGCACTGTTCTGCTCATCCATGTCAGGGCCCTTTGTTCTGTGGTCTCTCTCCAGGCGGAATTCCTCTTGGCGTCAACACTGACTTCTGGTCCAAGTGTTCCTTTTCTATCTGGCTCTAGCTAGGGGAGGGTTCTTTTAGCTATGTCAGTGACAGTAATAATGGCTTCATGCTTGAGAGCTGGCCTGCACTGACAGTGAAAACTGAGGCCCACAGGAGGGAACAGTGCCTGGCAGCAGTGAGCCTGGGCTCAGTTGTCAGCCTTTCATGGTACAGAATGCCAGTGGGCACTGCAAGTAGCTGGCCTGTGTTTAGGAGCAGACCTCCTTAGCTCTGTGGAGACCCAGGGCATCTTCCACAGGTAAGAAAGCAGGAATCTGTATGTCCTGTCCAGGGGATGTTGTGTTGCTGTTCTTGCATATGACTGAACTGTCCTCACAGGTGCCAGGGAGCTGGGGGAGTTTCATGCCTTCATCATCTCAGATCTGCAGGAGCTCAGTAGTCAGAATGGCCAGGATATCCTCCTCCTGCGGATTCACAACCCCTGGGGCCGGCGTTGCTGGCAGGGACTCTGGAGAGAGGGGTAAGTACCAGGATGGGGCTGCATGTGGGAGGAGGGCTTGATACCCTGGGGCATCCATGCCACAGGGCCCATCTAGCCTGTTTTGTGCTCATGTCTAGCTGCCAGGATAATGCTTGATTTTCTGTAGCAAAGCTCACTCTATCTATTTGTTCACCTGCTTGCTTTATCTAGGTCTTGGAAGACCTGGGATCATGCAAAAAAATTTATGGGGTTTTTTTCTTGGGTACCCAGAGGTTCTAAACCTGGCCAAGCTTTTGGTTGAATAGAGGTTTGAGGGTGACCTGCAGCTAGAGTCCTTAGTTCAGTTTTAAGACCAGATTGAGTCAGGATATCCCCTTGAGACCTTGGGAGCTCTGAGGCTCTTGGACCCCAACTACCCTCTTGAGTACAGGCTGGGTCTGGTGCTACCAAAAGCAGCTCTCTACTCAACATAACAGCTCCTTCAGAGACTAAAGGGTCAGGGCTCAGGTGTGATGGCCTTCAGAAGGCAGGGTCTCAGGTGTGGGGGTCCCCCTGGGAAGGAGAGGATCAGAGGGGCAGCCAGCACATAGAAGGCACCTTCTATGGGACACTTAGCAAGGGAGTGTGCCGTGCAGCTGGCCATCCAGGGTCTGGCAGAATCCAAGGCTCTCCACGCCCTAAGGTCCACTGCCTGGTTTGCCAGTTGATGGTCCACCTTGAGCTGGCACTTAAATGAGATTTCCTGCAGGGGAGAAGGGTGGAGCCAGGTGGAGCCAGCAAAGGAGTCTGAGCTGCTGGCACAACTCCAGGAAGGAGAATTCTGGGTGGAGGAAGAGGAGTTTCTCAGGGAGTTTGACGAGGTCACCATTGGCTACCCAGTCACAGAGGCTGGCCACCTGCAGAGTCTCTACACAGGTAGGACTGCCAGCAGGCGAGGACTCTGCTCTGTGGAGCCAAGAGCCTGCACAGGCTGACACACCAGGGACTGACTGGGGAACTGGGGAAGGGGAATGGGTGGGATTCTCGGAGGGTGAGCTGACTGCCGTTAGTGTGCTTGCCTCAGTCTGTGGGAACAGCAGAGCCCACCAGGTCTTCTCTCAAAACTAACTCATGCGCTCTCCCGCTAGAGAAGGTGCTGTGCCATATGCGGACACTGCCTGGTGCCTGGGTCACAGGGCAGTCAGCCGGAGGCTGCCGGAACAACAGCTGCTTCCCCTGCAACCCCAAGTTCTGGTTGCGGCTCTTGGAACCCAGTGAGGTGTGTGTGGCTGTCCTTCAGAGACCCCGGAGGCGCTTAGTGGGCCAGACCCGAGCACTGATGGGTGCCGGCCCTACACCAGCAAACCTCCCAGGCAAGGAATACCAGGCTGTGGGCCTGCACATCTGGAAGGTAACTCCTGTCTGCTGGCCCCATGGTGGAAAGGTATGTAGGCATATTAGAGGTCTAGGTCCCAGGAGCTTCCATCCTTGGCCATTGCTTCATTTTCCCATGTCCTGTGGCCTCAGGCCTCCGGTATATCAGCAGGTGCAGCTGATTCAAAGCCCACTCATCCCACCCCAGAGGTGGAAGCTATCCTGATCCCTCCAATTCCCATCTTCCCCAAGCATCATACTAGAGCTCATGCTTGCCTGTGTACCCCACCTAGCTGCTATCCTCTGATTCTTACCTTACAACATATATGTGTATAGGCTTATTGTATTGTCAGTCTCATTTGGTTAATTTTATGAGCTGGTATCTATTTCCTAGAACAGGTGAGTCAGGCACTGCTGCTTGCTTACTCAATGGCTGTATTCTAATTTTGTGTATCTTGATAATGTATGACAACTCACATCACTGTTCATTGTCCCTTTGTGAGCGTGGTCTACCTCATGCAAACAAAACATTGCTGGAATATACCTTCTCCAGCATTCCCCAGACTGCACTGGTCATGGGCCTTTTTGAACATAGTTCTACATTTGTCTGCTCTGCACCTTTGAAGGAAGCCCTGGATCTTTGGCATCTCCGCCTGCTCAAGAGGATGGATGCTATGGGCTGTCTCTAGGGGAGTTTTGCCTGAGCAGTGAGGAGCAAGGAGGCAGAGGCCCAGTATATGCATGCAACTCTCCTCAGAGCTTCCTGCCTCCATTTGTGCAGGTAGAGAAACGGAAGATCAGCCTCCCCAGAGTCCTGTCTGCACCGCCTGTGGCTGGCACTGCATGCCATGCGTATGACCGTGAGGTCCACTTGCGCTGTGAGCTCTCCGCAGGCTACTACCTGGCTGTCCCTAGCACCTTCTTGAAGGATGTGCCAGGGCAGTTCCTGCTCCGAGTCTTCTCCACTGGGAAAATCTCCCTCAGGTGAGGAACCAGTGCTAGCTGAGTCTCCTCCAAATGTGCTGAGGCCTGGGGAGGAGCAGGGATGTGCTCGGTGTGAGGGGGTAGGACTGGGACAGGCTTCTTTGGATAAGGCTGTCAGTGTCTTCTGTGCTTGTTCTCCTAACAGTGCTGTCAGGCCGACCACCAAGGGTGCATCACCTGGAACAGCTCTGCCTGCAGGCGAGTGGGAAACTGTGCAGCTGCGGGGCTGCTGGAGGGCTGGCCAGACAGCTGGGGGCAGCAGGAACTTCTCCTCTTACCCCTGCAATCCCTGCCTCCCCTTCTCCGTTCCTGAGGGTGCTGGTCCCCGCTACATCCGCATCACCCTGCACCAACACTGCCGACTCAGTGACAGCCAGCTCCACCCCATTGGTTTCCATATCTTTCAGGTGAGTTAGGTTCGAAGAGAGGCCTGCTGCTGTGACACAGAGCCTAGATTCTGTCATTGTGCCTGGTGGTTCAGCTGGCTGGCCTCAGGAAAGACTTACTTGCAGGTTTCACAGAGTCTGTTCACTGGAGTCATCTGAGCAGCTCACCTCACTCTACACACCCTGTCTGAGGTCATTCCTTCCACTGAATGGCCCTTACCTCTGACCCTGGAGGTCTAGGTTTAGGTCCTGACCCTGGGCTCTGGATCCTCCCTAGGGGTTCTGAGGCAGAAGCCCAGCATCACCTTGAGGTGGATGTGGCCCTAAGCAGTTACTTTATAGAGGCCTCGCTCACTCATACCATAGGCAGGGCTCACATGGGCAGTACCAAGTCTCACAGCCCGACCTTTCCCATGTCGCTCAGTGTTCAAGTGGGACTGGCAGGAGCTATTCTATAACAGGGTCAGAAGAGCAGGACAGAAGTCATTTGGGCTTCTTTTGGAAAGGGTCATAGAGTCCAAAAAAATAGGCAAGGGAGGAGAGACCTGTGCTTGGCCACTAACAGTGGCAGGACAGCCTGGTGATCAGGTGCCCCAGCCACAGTCAGCAATCCCAGAAGATTCCAGATGGATACCAGCATGGTTGAGGAAAAGCTCAGAACTTGTAGATGTGTGCTCTAGGAACTATGCTTTGAAGCTCTCAGCCCAGGGTAGCCATAGGCAGTGGAGGAGAGGCCACACAAAAGGGCCTCAGCATGAGGATTCTGCAATGGCCCAGGAGCTCTGAACACTAGTTCTCTGCCAGGCTGCTCTGGCTGGGGAAGGTTCAGTGGGTCTCAGCGCTCAGGGTGCTTCTTTACCCACCTCCGTCTCTTAGCCAGCAAGCAAGGGAGCACACTGAGCAAAGTTCTAGTTGGAGAAATGGGAGAGAAGAGAGAAGTGCTATGCTGGAGGTCAAGGGTTATTCCATGATGACAATAATGAGACTTCCCATCCCATGAGGCTGTTCTCATCCCATGGGCCTCCCTTCACAGTGAGCATGGCTGAGAGTATGTTGGGCTGCATCAAGATTCATTGTAGTGGGCAGAATGCAGGTGACACAGGGAGGCGAGAACAGGATTTTTTTCATTAGGAAGGTTCTGTTGAGTGTCAATATATCCTGGAATCATGAGTCAGCCCAGCTGGAGCTCTGAACAGAGTGCCTCTGCCCAGGGCCCATCCAGTACTCTGGAGCACTTTTGTGTAGAGGCCTGGTTAGTGTGTGTAAAACTGGCCTGTGATGAGCTGATGTTCTTCAGGGTTGGGTATCACTGGCAGGGCCTCTGGCAAGGATGGCCTGGCTCCATGGCTTTCCTCATTGGCATAGGGGTTCAATAGCTCCAGAACTAAGAGCATCAGGTGTCCCACCTAAGCCAGGGTAGAATGCCCTCAGCTGGTGCTGTATAGGAGGGGGGGGGGAGGAGAGAGAACAAACCATGCACCCTGTATAGGCCTCTGCATGCTGATTCCGCTGTTGCCCCAGGTTCCAGCAGATGCTAAGAACCAGGATGCATGTTCCCTGCTGCTCCAGGAGCCACTGCTAAGCTGTGTGCCACATTGCTATGCCCAGGAAGTGAGCCGCCTCTGCCTCCTGTCAGCGGGAACCTACAGGGTTGTGCCCTCCACCTACCTGCCAGATACAGAGGGTACCTTCACAGTGACCATAGCAACCAGAATAGACAGGTGGGCTCCCTGCCTTGCAGCCCTCCCAGCGGGGTCAGGGTCTTCAGCATTGTCCCCTTCTTCTGTAAGAGTCCCCTGCTTGGCCCACATGTCCAAGCTTCCACCTTCCTGGCAGGGCTAAGAGGTGGGCCTGTGGGCTTTGGGACTTCTTGTTGGTTTAAGCCTGAGAGTTGGGCCTGGGCCTAGGTTTGGTGGGAGGTGTGTAGGGCAGGTTTAGGGGATGACCTGACATTCTCTCCACAGGCAGTCCATTCACAGCCAGGAGATGCTGGGCCAGCTACTCGAGGAGGTTTGTGTATTGCGCCCTTCCTTAGCTTGGCTCACCTGCCTACATCTGCTTGGTGGTTTGTGGCCTTAAACCTCACCCTCCTCCCAGTACCCTACTACAAGTGGCCTCCACCTGAGATATAAAGTGCTGTGACCCCCTCGTAAAGTTGCAAGGCAGAGCCTGCAAGGGGCCTGGGAGCCAGGGCTTAGGTCTCTTTCTCGGGTGGTATTTGGAAAACAGTGAGGAACAGAGGGCCCAAACCTCACCTTCTCCTCCCTGCAGGTCTCCTTCACAGCAGTGATGAAAGCCTGACTGCAAGTACCTGGGTGTTTGCTGTGGCCTGGAGCGGCTGCCACCCCTTGCACCCAGCATCAAGGCGCATCTCCAGCCAGTTGTGAGCTAAGCTGCTCATCGGCTCTAAGGGCTGGCTGTGGACCTGAGGCTAATGTAGGCTGCTTTGTCCCAAACAGAAGACATCTTGGGGTCCAGTGGTTGCTGCAGGGCAGGCCTAGGACTCCCAAATGGCATCTTCATTCCCCAGAGAAGGCCAGGAGGTTCTTGGGGCCCAGGCCTGCTATGGAAGGTTTTGCAGAATTCACATACCTTTTTTGACTTCAGAAGCCTTACACCAGGCAGGCAGATTGTGACAAATGTTGAAAGTTATTTATTACTTGAAATATTTTAGGATATGACTTTATAAATAAACATGAGTAATTTATGAATTGGTCTTGCTCCATACAATCCTAGGCCGAATTCTCATTCTAGTAGCCAGCTGCACAACTGGAGGATGCAACCAGGAGGGGTGAGGGCAGTGTGGGCTCTGGAGGAGGTGGGGAATGGAAAGCAAAAGTTTTTGGCAGTTTTGGCATCCTACTTTGGCCTTCCTAACTGTGATCTCTGCCTAGACTGTGACATTCGATCCCATTGATGTGCTGAGGGTACTAATCATTTCCACAAGTCAGCCTCAGTTGAATGGAGTCATGGAATGGCTCCAGTAAGGAGGCCTCCTGGACTGTACAAGCTGGTCTTTGGTGGACTGTTACAAACTACCACTCTTGTATCCCACTGTGACAGGCTTTTTCATGGGCCTGCCACTGAAAGGCCCATAGGCCTTTCAGAATCCTGAACAATCTCCCACCCCCACCTGCACAGTACACAGCCATGGAGGAGAAGCCTACAATTTCTTGAGAGACTTCTGATCTTATTGATGTGGACAGCAAGTATGACCTCTTGTAGGCAGGACTTTGGACCATACTGAGGTGCTACCTTCTCCATCTGTAATTGGCTTGGTCAAATATCTGGCTGGTGGCCCTCTTTATTACCCCTGTTGATAAACCATAACTTCCTAGGGTAGCTATTTTTGGTGCCATTATTAAAGGGGTATCACCTGGCCTGTCTAATTTTGAAATTTACCTCACCACTGTTGGTATTTACCAAGCCCTGTAGCAGCAATTTCCACCATCTCCTGGTCTGCAGAACTAACCTGACTAGGGTGGGAGCAGTCCTGAGGGCTTGACAGGATGTGACACGGTCTTTCCTTTGAAAATGACCTTTGCAGGCTTTGATCAAGCTCAACAGCAGCCACCTGCCTATCTACAGCTGCTTCCTAGGCAGCCATACTTGTCACCTCAGGGACCCCTCTTGAGCCCACCATCACAAACCCTTCCCATGCATTCCTTATGCAACAACATGGTAAAAAGCAGTTGGACTAGACAGGACAGTCATCCCGTTACCTGTGATGAACTCTGGTTCTTCGTGGATAGTCAGTAATCCAGTCCCACAGCCTAGAGTGTCAGGTTTTGTGTGTGTGTGTTTTCAGACTGACCCCCCTTTTTCCAGAAGTAGAACAGGATTTGGGTCAACTTATTTGGGTAGAAAGAGGGAATTCTCTTCCTGAGACACTTGGGCAGCCCCAGCCTTGGATTTAGGACCTTTAGAAGGATGGCAGAACCCAAACCCCTGGGCTTTGGGTTCTGCCCCACTCTGTCCCGAGGGCAAGGCTGCCTCCAAGCTTAAGGTCCTGTTACACTGCCACAGTAGCCCTGCCCAGATGGTCTCCTGGGCCAGTGTATTTATTGTTTGCTGTCCCTTCCCCTCTCAGCTGTGTCTATTTTGGTAATAGCACCTGGGACATCTTAGGGGGACCCTGAAGAGGGTTCGGGGTTCGCCCTCTACCTGACAGCTTTCAGGACGAGCCCTGGAGTGTTTGTCATCTCAGATCCCCCCCCCCCCCCCAAGGAATATATCCAAGCCTCCACTCATGATCTTTTTCCCAGGTGATAGAGGAGTCAAAGATATGCTTAGGGGTTGGAGGCATTTGGATCCTGACACCCTTGCCCAGAGTTCCACGGCTACTGTGCATCTCACAGGCGTCAGCACCTCCCGTTTTGCCGTGGCTCCTGAGGGAAGCTTTCTGAGGACTGCCATAATACCAGGCTGCTTCTCCTCAGTGTGTATCACCCCAGTGACCTGCAGGAGGCGCACTTAAACTGTGGCTCACCCTTCAGGATTGCAGGGCCATTTCTGCTAGACCTCAGCTGCCGTGTTCTGGGGAGTCCAGAAGCCTAGCTCAGGCAGGGACTAGGAATTGGCACCATCCTATTACCTCTCAAGGCAGCCCTGGTGTGGAAGGGTGAGCAGAGGCCACTGTAGACTCTGAAAAGCGCTAAAGGGCTAGCAAGGAGTGGCACTCCAAGGCTGTGGTGATCTGAAAATCTGCCCTCCCTAGTTGGCACCTTGGGAAGGTGTTTATGACACAGGTGGTGGCTGTACAAGTATTGGTGTTTGCCAGTCCCTGTAGCGGCCGTTCCCACTATCGCCTGGTTTGCGGGAACTAGTTTAACTAGGATGAGAGCAGACCTGACGGCTTGTCGGGATCTAGGCTGTCAGCCTGTCGGGATTTAGTACCACCCAGGAACACTGAAGGAAGCAGACCCATGCTGAGTGGGGGGAGCACCGCCCCATGGACTGCAGTTCCAGAGGAATAGACATGCAGCAGAATACCAGAATTTGTCTCTGCTTCCTGACTGGATGCCTTGTGTTCCCATTGTCACTCCTTCCCACCGTGAGGGACTATACCACTTCTCATGAACCAAAATAAATCTACCCCTTTAGTTGTCTGTCTCAAATGAGATATCTTATCATAGCAATGAGAAAAGTAGTACAGTAACTTTATAGAAGGGACTTCAGAGAGCCCCCTACGGCTCTTCCGTCATAGGAGGCTGCAACAAGATGACCAGGTATGAACCAGCCACTGCGTCTCCAAGGTCTTGCTTTTTGAGTTGTAGCCTCCAGAAGTGCCAGAGAAGTCTCTTATTTATAAACACTTGCTATATAAAGCAACCCTGATAGGAGCGACAGGTTTCTAGGAAAAGCTGAGGTTTCTCAATGGGGCTTGTTTCCCAAGGTGTCCAGAGCCACACAGTGCCTGTTGGCAGGAAGGGATGAGGGTGAACCTGGCAGATCCAGAAGGGCAGGTTGGGTGTGTTTGTGTGAGAATGTCTCCTTCCTGGGAGACTTTGGCCACTCTACCAGCCCAGCCCCTTCCCAGCAATACTTCCTGTTCCAGGGTAGTAGGGAAATGTCTCATGACACTGTGTGCTGCCCAATCCTGGCTCTCCCTCTTCTGTCCTTTCTCACCTCTGTGTCCTCCCAGGCTGTCAATCTTGAGAGTCCAGAGCATCTCGGGTGAGTACGGAGGCCTGTCCGTGAGAGCAGGTGGTCATGGAGGGGCCTCGTGGGACAGACGACTAAACAGTGGGCTGGGCTGTTCAGAGCCTTGGTGAGCATCATAGAGGCCAGCCAGTAGATCTCATGCTCTGCACTCTCATGATCCCTTCTCCCTTCCCCTATCTCCTTTTCTTCCCTCACCTCTCCCATTCATAAGCAAGCCTTATGCCTACAGAGCTTTCTAGGTGTGTTTCTCTGCCTCTTTTGTTTTAGACAGGGTTTCTCTGTGTAGACTTGGCTGTCCTAGAATCGCTTTGTAGACCAGGCTGGCCTCGAACTCACAGAGGTTCACCTGCCTCTCCCTCCTGGAGTGCTGGGATCACAGGCACGTGCCACCATATGCCACTGCTTCTCTTGTCTTTTTTTAATCCTCTCATATTGCCTGATTTAAGCCAGCTTTGCCTCCATTTGAAATTAATGGAAAAATCATTTTATTCTTGGAAACACACTGCAGCCTCTGAACCCACTACAGAGGTCTGGGTGGGGCTGCTCTGTCCGAGAGGTTGGGTGGGTGGGTGGCTAGGTGGTTTCTGCTTTAGTAGGGCAGGCTGGCTAGCCTTGCTGGCTGGGAGCACTTTCTACATGTTTCCCTTAAAGGGAGCTCGAACTACATCTGCAGAACTTTCGGTCATTCCCTTGGTGCTGAAGCCCCCTGGCAGTTCCTCGTTTGTCCTCAGAGTTCAGTGAGCGAGCACATAGTGCTGTTTCAGGTCTGGGCTGGGCCACATGGCCTGTTAGCCCTGCATCTCAGGGGATGGGGAATGCTGGTATGAAGCTCCGTCAAAGATGCCTGCAGTTCCCCCACTCAGACCATGCCTCGGGTTAAGCTTACCTTCAGGTCCTGGGATACTTGCTCCTTTGCAGCTGGCCTGGAGTCCTTGTTCCAGGAAGGTGTGCCTAGCTTGGGCTGGTGGGGACATCGGGGCCATGGACCAGTGTTTGTGCTCCTCCCAGGGCCTGGGAAGGTGTCATGTCAGGGCACTGGTATTTGTCCCTATGACTTTGTACCCTTATTGATCTGGGCTTCCCTCATCTTCCAGGCCCAGCAAGGATGCTTAGCAGGAGGGCCACTCACTTCATAACATATCTTCATTTCCCAACCTCACCTCATCCTGAAGTGGATAGGTTGGCACACTCCACATTCCAGTGCCTTAGATGTGGCCAAGATACATAGCATCCCACCTGGAGCCCATGATCCCTTAGGGATCAGAGCCTCAGCATCCAGCTACCGAGATGGTGAATGGACACACAGCATGGTAGTAAATCAGCGAGGAGAAGAGCATGGGCTGGCACCCTCAGGGCTGGGCCTGCAGCGTGGGGAGAGCTCTCAGAGGGCCACACACAGATGAGGGGGAGTGGCAGGCAAAGGCCTGGGAGGCCTTCAAAGCCTGAATCTTAAGCTCACGGGCAGTAGGGAGTTGCCATGTGTGAGAGTTCCCTTTGGCTGAAGTCTTACGAGCCTCTGGAAGGCTGTGTAGACATGTGGGTGGTGCCTGGGTTGAGTGGGAGGCTGTGATCCAGTGCAGCCAAGAAACCAGTGAGATGCGCTGTCGCTGCTGCCCTGGACCCATCCCCTAGGTTAGTCTAAGGAGAAGCAGTAGCTGGCTGGCTGGCTCCTGTCTATCTAGGGTTGTCTTAATTTCTCTTAGCAATATTTTACAGCTTTGAGAACACATGTTCACACTTTTTCCTAAATGTTTCAGTCTCCATAAATGATACTGTAGTTTTAGCTTCTAATTGTTTATTGCTATATAGAGATACGTTGTTTTGGCCTATTTAGGGTATCCTATAATTTTCTAATTCAGCTGGTAGTTTTGTTTCTTCTTTCCGTTCCCTCCTTCCCCCCGCAAACCCCTAAGGGTTCTACATGCACATTTCAGCCCTAGGTGACAATACTATCTTCTTGTCTCCATCCCCTCCCTCCTGCCCTGTGCTCTCTGGCTGAGTCCCCATGTGCCATTTTGAACACAATGGCATGAGTTACTCTGTTCCTGAGTACAAAGGAACCGCTTTTAGCCCCTCTTTGTCTTGTGTGACATTTCCTGTCCGCTTCCTGTGGCTGTCCTTTATCACGTGTGGGGTGTATTCTTCCAATCCTAGATTGCTAAGGGATTTGTCTGTGAGAAGCAGGAAGTTTTGTCAAATATATTTTCTGCACTTATTGAGGGGATTATGTAAATTTCATTTCTTCCTGTTGGGTGATGAATTCCACTGACAGAGAACTCACCTTACATTCCTAGGGTTCTGGTTGATGGCAAATGCTCAGTTTATACATTGTTGGCTTCAATTTCCTGGGGTTTGGGATGATTTTCATGTCCATGTTCATGTGTGACATTGGTCTTAACACCTCTGTCCAGTTCTAGTGAGAAGACAGAGACTGCCATGGAAGGTGCTCTGTGGACTGTCCCCTGTGATGCTCTGAATAAGATTCAGTTCCCTTTATCTTTAAATGCAGGATGAACCTCACCAAGGACACTGTCAAAGTGGGATGTTTTCTTTGTAGGAAGGTTTAAAAGTATGAGTGTAAGAATTTTAATGGATGTAAGCTATTCTATTTTGTATTTCTGGTCTATGGCCATACCACTCTACCACTCTGAACATACTCGATCTCATCTATTTTGTATTTCTGATACTAACTTTGGCAAGGGGTGACTTTTAATAAATTCACCCATTTTATCAAAGTTGTCAGTTGTATTTGGTTAAAGCTATTGATGCCCTTTTAACTCTTATTAATGTTGGAAGCCTCTCATTGTTTCTTCCATTTCTCGTAGTGATTTGTAACTGTTTTACTTTGACCAGTCTAGCCAGAAGATTGCCAGTTTTGATTGCCTTCATAAATAACCAGCTTTTTTTTTTTTTTTTTTTTTTTTCTGAGACAAGTTCTCACTAAGTTGTCTAGGCTGCTGTTGAAATTCTGCAGGGCAGAATTCATGACTTTCCTTTAGAAGTCCCAAGCAAGCTGGGGTTACAGGTCTGCACCACCAGGCCCAGCTTGCAGCCAGCTTTTGAAAGTGATTTTCTCTGGTTTTGTTCTATCACATTAAATTCCCATTCTTTCTTTCATGTTTCCTTTCTTCTGCTTCTTTGGGAGATTCCTAAAGTGGAATCTCAGCTCAGTGACTGTATCTCTTATCTTCTGGAATAAACATGAAAGGTATAGGCATTAACTTCTCTCACAAGTATTGATAAATTCCATTTTCATTGTCATTTAGTTCCAAGTATTTTCTAATGTTCTTTCAGTTATCATTGATCTTTGAATTGCTTCTAAATGTGTTGTTTTGGGGGCTCTCAAGTTAAAATTTAAATATATAAATATATATGTTTTGGTGTTTTGTTTTTTTGAGATAGGGTCTCATTATATAGCCCAGGTTAGTGTTGGACTTGTAGCTATCCCTCTGCCTCAGCCTCACATGTACTGGGCTAGCAAACATGCCATCACACCCGGCTTTGTGGGCTTTCCTTAGATGTTATAGCTCTTTGTTACTGATTTCTAGTTAAGTTTTGCTATATTTCAGAAACATACTCTGTATAACTTAAAGCCTTTTAGAAAAGAATCTGTGTGTGTGTGTGTGTGTGTGTGTGTGTGTGTGTGTGTGTGTGTGTGTACATATGCATGTGCATGTGTGTGTGTATGACTGCATGGGTTTGGGCCCCATGGAGCTGGAGGCACAGACAGTTATGAGCCACACAACAAGGGGACTGAACGCAGGTCCTCTGAAGTGTTTCAGTGCATATTCTTAACCTGTGAACCATTTCAGTCCACTAAAAGCCTTTTCAGTGTTTTTTGGTTTAGTTTTTTGAGACAAGCTCTTCTTTGTTGCCCAGGTTGGCCTTGAACTTGTGGTCCTTTTTCCTTAGCTTCCTGAGTGTGAGGAATTACAGGCATATGCCACAGTGCCAGACTCAAAGCCTTAATTTTACAGAGGCTTGCCTTACAGCCTGACATGTGGCCTGTTTTGAGAATGTTTTATATGCATTTGAAGATAATCCTTGTCCTGCTTGTCTGCTGTTGCTAGGTGTGGTGTCCTATAAATCCATTTGTGACAGGTGAGTTGGTGCCACAGTGTAACGTGTCCTGACTAACTTTTGGTGAGTTCCTGTGGAAAACGTTAAAACTCGGTGCTGGTCTATTTGGCATTACACCCAACTTGGCTTTCTTACAACTCATACTCAAATCTTACAACTTCTCCACTGTTTTATATTGTTTTCTTTTTACTCTTAACTTTTCTTTGTATTTAAAGTGTGTATCACACAGCTAGCATATTGTTTTTAAATGCACTTTTATAATGTTTTAATTTTATTTTTAGATGAACATGTGCCATGCACAGATGTTAGAGGACAACTTTTAGGAGTCAGCTCTCTCCTTTCACCCTCTTCTGAGGCAGATCTCTCTTGTTGCTTCATTGCGTGTTCCAGGCTGGCTGGCCCGTGGGCATCTGGGCTCCTCCTCTGTCTCCACCTTCCATCTCCCATAGAAGTTCTAGGATACAGACATGTGACACCGCATTTGGCTTTTTACATGGGAGAGAACCCAGATCATCCAGCTTTCATGGCTTCATGGCGAGTGTTCTTACCTGCTGATCCATCTCCTTGGCTTATCTTTGCTTTTTAACTGGATTGTTAATACCAGGCTATGTTTAAGTAATTGTTGATATTACTTGGTTTGAGATGAGCATCTTTGCTTTCTATTTGTCTCATCTACCTTCTTTGCCCTGTCCCTCCTTTTTTCTCCCTATTCTGGATAGTTAGTACCTTGTTTTCTATCCCATTTTTCTCCTTCATCAGGTCCTCTTACCTTTTTGTTCTATTTTCAGTGATTAGTGTAGGATTTATCACATGTGTTTTTAATTTATTGATGATTAATTGGAAGTAGGGAAGAGGTAAGGAAGGAAAATTGAAGAACCAGATTCAAATATCTGGTGTAGGCAGTAGAGACATTACTCTGACTTGGCAAATTT